CTGCAGAGTCCCGTGGTGAAACGGTATCACATGGCCAGGACGGCAAGAGCTCACTCATGTGCTCTCCTTTTAAAGCCACCAGTCTACACCCAGGATAACTGGTTAACATTAACCCATTACTCCATGAACGGATCAATCCATTCTGTAGGGCATGGTCATTACGTCGGATTTCCCACCCTCTGAACACTGTTACAATGGAGGTCAAGCTTCCAACTCATGAACTTTTGGGGGACACATTCAACCCATAGAGTCTGGTGGAAGCTGGGCATGGTTGCAGCAGCAGCTGTGCTCACAGAGGGTGAGCCAGCTGGACAGGGCCCCGCTCAGCATGAGCTAATAAGCCAGAGAAGAGCAGGTGGGAGTGGGTGCTGTGGGTACTGTGGCTGGGCACCCATTCCCACCCTCCTTCTAGGTGCCTTCCTGGACTGCAGAGGCTGCAAAGCTGAACCCAGGACCCTGGATCCCCTGATCCGATTTAGGGTCTGTCAATCGGAAGTGCTCAGAGAAACCAGAACCCAGAACGGAGGTGAGCATGGGGCGGGCGGCGGGCGTGGCAGCCAGCGGCTGCTGTGTGCAGCAGGGTCCCAAGCAGGTTGACCAGCAGCCCGCTCAGAACCCAGTCCTGTGCAGCTTTGGAAGTTGTCCTCAGAAGCTCAGTCCCCAGTCTTTCCTCAACCCTCCTAACGATTCTGTTAGCCACTTAACACCCTCTAGTAAATCCCTCTCTGCTTACACGAGGCAGAGTAGCCTACTTTCTCTGTACGAGGCCTGATTGAAAATACAACCTTGACATGACAGGGCGTGACTGGGAGCTCGACCAGCAGCCCGCTCAGAACCCAGTCCTGTGCAGCTTTGGAAGTTGTCCTCAGAAGCTCAGTCCCCAGTCTTTCCTCAACCCTCCTAACGATTCTGTTAGCCACTTAACACCCTCTAGTAAATCCCTCTCTGCTTACACGAGGCAGAGTAGCCTACTTTCTCTGTACGAGGCCTGATTGAAAATACAACCTTGACATGACAGGGCGTGACTGGGAGCTCCTCTGGGCTGATTGGGGACCTGTATGACAGGAAGAAGCCAGCCTGGGGAGAGTTCTTCAGGCAGACGGGTGGCAAGTGCGAAGGCCCTAGGGTGTGAGCAAGCTGGGAGTGTCCCCTCAGCAGAGGTCAGAAAGGTGCTGAAAAGAGGAGACACTAGACAGGTCCCATTCCTGGGGATATTGCACCTCGAGGACTGACGCAGCCTTTAGAAAGCGTGTGTGCGTGGACAGCGTGTGCTTGGCGGGAGAGAGGCCCTTGGTACATGTCTGTGAGTGAAGTTACAAGCACATGGGTGTGTGCCCATGTGGGCTGGCATGTGTGGGAATTGTGTGCCAGCTTCCAGCATGCACAGGCTCCCCTGGGGACCAGACACAGGCTCTTGGTATCCATGTGCTCTGGAGACGGCCTGTCCTGCGGGTGGGGATTGCAAGTCTGAGTCTCTGAGTCAACATGTGTGGCTGGGAGCTTGCTCCTCCTGGTCAGGCACAGGGGACCTGAGCTGCACCAGGGAGGGGCTGTGGGCAGGCCCTGAAAAAGCTGTTCTTAGGCCAGACCCGGGCCCCTCAAGGGCATCCTGGGTTCTGGGGCCCATGGCAGCAGCCGCAGCCTGAGGTGGGACAGAGTAGGGCGGTGCAGCAAGGGAGGAAAGGGACACTCAGTGGCATTCCTGGTGTGCCTGCTCTGAGCAGCCATCAGACACAGACCCACAGAGACCCACACCCTGCTCAGATTCAGCGTGAGCAGCGTGAACCCCAGCCTTCCATTCCCGACTGGGAAGGGAACTTCATAACGCCTGTGGCTGTCTAAAAGCCCATCATCATCAACCCATTTGGGTTAAAAGACACCTTTCAAAAATTGCCAACACCCTGGGTGTGTTAGGTCTGTGGGTTACTCACAGAGTGCTGGATGCAACCCAAGCTACAGCAGGCGGGGGGTGGGGGTGGGGGACAAGAGGATGTCCTCTGGGGCCACTGGAGACTGGGGTGGGGGCAGACAGGCCCAGGGCTGGGTGTAGACAGAACTGCCCAGTCGCTGCAGACGCCTGGCCTCTAGCCACAGCCCTGAGCTTCGTTCCCCTGGAAACCACCAGGGCTAGTGGCTGCGGAGTGACCTCCAGGAAGGCCCCGTCCTCAGAGGGCCCCAGCACTAGTGTCTACCAATTAAGCAAACATGTATTGAATAACATTGAACAATGGAATCCAGTCTACAAAACACATCCTCTCCACCTCCAGGCCCGCAGCCTTGGGTCCCTGGGGGTCACTTCTGTGTCCCCACCTTTGAGATGCAGCACATGTTTAACGAATGGGTTGGTTTACCGTGTGCGTGCACACAAGCAGAGCACCGCCTCATGTGACCTCAGCAGGAGGTAGCACACAGCATCCTGGTTTAGAGATGAGGAGCCTGAGCGTCACAGAGGTTCCTGGCAAGTCCATGAAAGCACGAGTCACACAAGCTGACTCCCTACCAGCCAGGGCTCCCACCTCAGCACAGAAATGGCTCCGCCTGAGACCCCAGTGCAGCCCAACTCGAGGGGCCGCAGGTCCCAGGAATTAAGCCCACCTGTTCCCAGGCCTCCCTATGTGCCCCTCTCTGAGCACAGCAGAGAACCCTTTCCATGTGCCATTGTGTCCCACGAACCTTCTCAGGCATATTTTTTGGGGGAGCACTCCCACCACCAAAGGACGTTTATCCCCAGCACTCAGCCCTCACCAGGGCAGCCCCAGGCAAATCAGCCTTGCCCTGCCCAGAGGCGCTGCAGGCCTTCGTCCCCACTGACCACACACCCCAGCTGGGGCGCCTGGTCACAGAGCCTCTCTGAGAAGCGTGTGGAAGCAGGAGCTGGGAGAGGGGCCTCCGGACGCCACCAAGGGCTGGCCATTCTCAGTCTCCTGTAAAATGAGGTGAGCCCGAGGCCACTGCTAGTGCTGAACATGGGGTGAGAACTGGATGTGCCTGAGTGAGCCCCAGGGGAGCACTGCCAACAGCAACCCCGGGCCTCCCAGCATGAGCAGCGCTCCAGGGCCATCTACCTCACTTTTCCTAGGAGCCCGGGCTCCCTTTAGGGGTCAGTGGTGCTTAGAAACCGAGGTCTGGGGCCGGGCATGCTACGGGGCGTCGCTGCCCCCAGGCCCTGCCAGCTGACACAGCTAGGAAAGGGCTGGTGCGCCTCCTCGCACACGCACGTGCACACACATCCACACCCATCTACGTGGAAAGCACGAGCTCACACTGATACCTCCCGCTCCTCTCCAGAGACACGGGTTCACTCTAGCCTGCCCCTTCCTGTGTCTGTAACTCCTGCCTTCAACAGTGGGAAACAGGGACCCCCAGACCAGCTCTGGAACCATTGCCCCCGGCCTCTGAGGGAGGGAAGCCTGCCAACCAGCACTCAGGGCGCGCTGGCAGCAGAGTTCTCCAAGCATGCGTGGGGACCCCTGGAGGTCCCTGAGATCCTGCCCAGGAGGTGCCCTCTGCTCCCGTTCTCGGACGGTGCGCGTGGCATTCTCAGAGGCTGCACGCCACAGCCTCAACCATCCGACAAGGCGACGGGGCCGCCGCCTCTTTCCAGCTGCGTTCCGTGCCAGGCTGGGTTTCCTTCCAAGGGTCCGGGACACAACGCATCTTACAGATCACCTGCAGAGCCGGGTGGGAGGCCCAGCTGTCTTTCATTAAGCCAGACAATAAAAAGATCTGCACAGATGTAGAACCATGCCACCCTTCTCAGGAAGGTTTTTAATTTTGAAAAATATAGTTGTTTTTTACAAAACATTATGCTCTTTATGTTCACATGTAATAGGCTTCTTATTTTTAAGTGAATTAATAAGTGCTCTGAACGTTTCTGTTATGGTTTAGAATATGGTAAGTATTGATACATATAACCCACATGAGCAAAGGTTCTTTGGGGTCCTTAGTGACTTTTAGGAATAGAAAGGAGTCCTGGGACGGAAGGGCTTGAGGACCGCTGGGGTGGGACGAGCCTCTGGCCGCAGGGTCCGGAATGTCAGCGCTGTGTGCAGTCGCTCCTCTGTGGTTGCTCCTCTGTTTACTGGAAACCCAGGTTGGGTCATTTGTTTCTGTTTGCGTTCTGTCCTGGGCGATCCTATTTATCTCCCCTCTCTCTCTTTCCAAATATGTGAAACATTAACAGGGTTCTGAAAATCAGAACATATGTCGTTTAAGCTTAAAAGCTGCCTGGGAGATACGGTCGGGCAGAAAGGGCCGGGGCCGGCTGAGCAAGGCCACCCCCACTGTCCTGACTCCTTCCCGTTCCCAGACCCCATGACTGCGGCTCTATAAACACTTCTGACATCGAGCAGCAATGAACTTCAGAATCGGTTGGCCGAGTCCCCAAAGGAGGGGAGCAGCTCAGAGACCCCGGCCAGCCCCTGCCCTGGGTGTGCAGCTCAGCCTGGCTGGGGAGGGCTCCGCACCACTGACTTGACCTGTTCTGGCCGGTGGCCCTGGAGGACCAAGGGACACAAAGTGCCCACCTGCAGCCTGGCAGTTCTCAGGTCCCTGACACCCTGAGCGCTTCACCAGCAATTCTGATTCCCCTCTGGTAGGGACGGCTCGCGGCGTCCTCTGGCCAGCCGTGTGGACCACCTGGTTGTTCTGTGCAGTTTTAGGCCATGACAGGACAGAGGCAGCTGTGTTCGGCTGAAAGCCAGAGCCCCAGAGGTCAGGCAAGCCAAGCGACAGCTGCTGGCTTCCCCAGGCCCCCACAGCGCTGGGGCTTACACCAGGCCCGAGGGTGGCCCCCAGGTCGCACCCTGCCCTGGGAGGTGGAAGGCCCGGCTTTATTTCAGAGCAGGTGCAAAGGAGCCCCCTGTCACCCTCCACCCTGCACACTCTGGTCCTGGACACGGAGCTCCTCTCGGCACCCCCCGAGGGAGACGCCAGCCAGGGGCTCCATGGAGCCGGAGCGACACGGGAAGGGGGAGGAGG